CTCTGAGCTCTGTGTACACCGGGACACCTCTGAGCTCTGTGTACACAGGGGCATCTCTGAGCTCTGTGTACACCGGGACACCTCTGGGCTCTGTGTACACAGGGACACCTCTGAGCTCTGTGTACACAGGGGAATCTCTGAGCTCTGTGTACACCGGGACACCTCTGGGCTCTGTGTACACAGGGACACCTCTGAGCTCTGTGTACACAGGGGAATCTCTGAGCTCTGTGTACACCGGGACACCTCTGGGCTCTGTGTACACAGGGACACCTCTGAGCTCTGTGTACACCGGGACACCTCTGAGCTCTGTGTACACCGGGACACCTCTGGGCTCTGTGTATACAGGGACACCTCTGAGCTCTGTGTACACAGGGACACCTCTGAGCTCTGTGTACACAGGGGAATCTCTGAGCTCTGTGTACACCGGGACACCTCTGGGCTCTGTGTACACAGGAGAATCTCTGAGCTCTGTGTACACCGGGACACCTCTGAGCTCTGTGTACACAGGGGAATCTCCTGAGCTCTGTGTACACCGGGACACCTCTGGGTCTGTGTACACAGGGAAATCTCCTGAGCTGTACACAGGGGCATCTCTGAGCATGTTCCCAGGAAACATGGACAGCCTCAGCCAACCAAAGGTTCTGCGGGTAAGTGGACCACCACACACTGGGCGCAGGCGGCTGATCTCTCCACTCTGGCCACAAGCAGCTGTGGGATGGAGACAAACAGACCCCACCGGCACCTCCCAGCCCCCACCCAGTCCTCGGATCAGAGAGGAAAGATGACAGTGAACAGGAGGCCAAGCTCCTAACTCCGGGGCAGAAGCCCAGCAGGCCCCAGGCCTCACTCTTCAGATCCTACCCAACGGGACGTGTGCACTGCACAGAGCCTAACAGAGCCACAGATGTAGTGTCACCCCATGCAGAGCAGAGGGGACGCACACTCCAGTGTGCATATGTTACGTACAGCACACGAGGAGTGCAGCTACACATGGCTGCAGGATGAACCTTGCCAACAAAGCTGAGCAAAGACAAAGAAAACATGCTGCATGACTAAGCCGCGAGAAGTTCCGGATGCAGCATGACAGCCCAGAGCCAGAGGTCAGCCGGGGCATTCCCGGGTCAGCCAGGGCGGCCGGGAGGGGCTCTGGGGATGATGGGTGCCAGTGCATCCTCAGGCGACACCCTATGAGCGTCTGTCACTTCCCTGTGGGCCCAGCTACCAACCAACCAACCAACTACACAGGGCACAGCCCTGAGCAAGGCCGCAAGTACAGGCCGCTGGAAATCCCCAAGGTCCAGGCCGGGAGAGGGGGAGGGGCTGCTGTCCTAAGCCGCCCAGGCCCGGGAGGACGGGGCAGGAGCCGCAGCCAGAGCCCAGAGAAAGCTCCAAAAGCACTGCGGGGAGCTGAGCTGAGCTGAGCCTGCCCCACAGGCCACTGTCCCCCAGTTGCTGAAGAACACCCCGGGGAATATACCAGGAATATATTCAGGCTGCTGTGAGCCCTGGGGTGTGGAGGCTTGGGCAGGAGCAGGTGGCAGGCCCCTGGGGGCCTGCAGCCAAACTCCCATACCAGAGGATTGCAGCAGGAAGCCCATGTGTGGCCGTGCAGTGCCACAGGGGAGGGACATATGCCTCAGAGTGGCCAGTGAGTGGCCGTGCAGTGCCACAGGGGAGGGACATAACCCTCAGAGCGGCCAGTGAGTGGCTGTGCAGTGCCACAGGGGAGGGACATAACCCTCAGAGCGGCCAGTGAGTGGCCGTGCAGTGCCACAGGGGAGGGACATAACCCTCAGAGCGGCCAGTGAGTGGCCATGCAGTGCCACAGGGGAGGGACATATGCCTCAGAGCGGCCAGTGAGTGGCCGTGCAGTGCCACAGGGGAGGGACATAACCCTCAGAGCGGCCAGTGAGTGGCCGTGCAGTGCCACAGGGGAGGGACATAACTCTCACAAGGCAGCTAAACAGCTCCTGGGGGTGAGGGGGGCATACCCAGGTTCAGTGAAGGAAACAGACCCAGGAGAGTGGCAGTCGGCCTCCCTTTGGGTGGGGCTCCTTGTGTGGGGGGCCTCAAGAGCAAGGACCCCTCAGCGCCCCGGAACTGGCCCCCAGGCCCAGGGCCTTCCTGAGCTGCGCCATGGCTCCGCACGAGCCCTAACCACACCTGGGGTCACAGGCCCCGCAGGCTGGTAGCCAGTGCACAGCAATGAAGGATCTCACACAACACGCGCTCTCCAGACCTGAAAGACCGGATGTCCAGGCAGATGGCCTCGCTCCCGTCTGGCAAGGTGGCCAGAGGGCCAGGCTGTGCCTCGGCAGGCCCAGTGCACAGAGTGAGGGCACAGGGCTCAGATGTCCTGTCCTTCCCATCCCTAGGGCTGTGTGGCCTCACTCTGGCTCCCCTCCCACAGGACCCACGCCAGGGCCGCCCTGGAGTAACAATCCCAGCACAGGGTCTGTAGAAGCCAAGGGCAGCCACGCGCAGCGCTGGGCTCTGGGGCCCAATGCATGCTGGGAAGGGCACCCAGGAGCTGCAGCCTCTGCGGGGGAGGGGCAGGCGGCAGGGCTGGGCCCTGGGGAAGGGAGGGAGAGGCAGGGGCAGTGCAGCCAACCCTGAGCAGCTGAAGTTGGCAGGTCTTAAATTAATCGGCTACAATTTTACACAACAACACGTTTGGCAGGGCCTGGCTGGGGGCCAGCCAAGTCCCTGGAGCTCCTGAGATGCTTTTTAAAGCCCTGCGAGGACCAGGCCTGGGAATGGGGGGAGGGGCCACCCTGGCCGGCTGGCCTGCGAGTCAGGCAATGGGCTCCTGGGGACCCCGGCTCCCACAGTACAGTGGGCGCTGGCGCGGCAGCCGCAGGGCGGGAGGAACCTCCATGTACACAGTGCTGGCGGACCAGGGGCCCAGCCACTCCCACACCCAGGCTGGGCCAGGGTGATGGGGGAGGCAAGGATGGTGGGAATTCTGCCTCCCAAAGGCTAGGCCCAGCCAAGAGGAGCCTGCACACCCACAGGGAGCAAGTGTCCTTCATCGTGGGCCCCTGGCAGGGCCGTGGGCCTGTGGGAGGGGACGGGACAGCCAGGCCTACCCTGCGCAGGAAGGGCCCGGCATGACTTGATGGGCACCCAGTTGACATCTGGCTTCAGGTCAGTGGTCCAGAGCGGGACATTCAGGAGAAGTTCCCCAAGAGAAGGAAGGTCACAGGTAGGACCTGGCTAACTCTGCAAGCCCCCAGTCACGTCCTGAAGAGCCCCAAAGAAAGGGAGGGGAGAGCAAGAACCCTGCAGCCAGCAACTCTGAGCTGGTGCTGTGAAGTGCTGTGCCTCAGTATCCCTATTTGTCAAACAGATAATGGAACTGCGGAAAGGCCTCTGAGAGAGGCCAGTGTGAATGACTGCTCAACACACGCTTCCGTGGAAGTAGGAGCCTGTTGGGCCCTGGGGAAGTAGGAAAAACTGAGGGCCAGAGAGGCTGGGCAGGTGGGAAGTCACACCGATCATGACGAAACAAGGCTTAACTCGGCCATCTGCACTGTGTTGGGGAAAGACCACTGGTGGGTCTGATAGCTGCGGGCAGCTTCCTGGACCCTCGCAGGGGGACACCTGAGGGTGGGAAGCACACACCCGCTTCACTGCAGTACTCCAAGCGAAATGAGGCTCTGCTCTCCAAGCACAGCCCAACAGCTCAGGCCCTGGCCCCAGCAGCTAACTCCAGGCACCCAGAGAGCACCATCTACCCAGGTGCCGCCACCACACCTGGCGTAGGAGGGCCAGAGCCCAAGGCGAGGCTCTGGGCAGCAGGCGCAGGGGCGCTGGGCACTGGGGCAAAGGTACCGCAGGGGGACACAGCCTCACTTCCCAGCTGAGGAGGGCCCCACGCCCAGCGGGCCAGCTCCCGGCCTCCTGAACCAGGAGAGGGTAGGACGGTAACCCGTAGGGCCACGCAGGCCTCCCGAGCCTCCCAGCCACAGCAACACGGAGGCACCGGCACAACCCAGACTCACCCAGAGGACCCGGCCCTCACCCAGGCTTCCCACGCCTGCTGCCTCCCTGCCGAGAAGAGAGCCCCCTGGGCACCACACCGCAGGCGCTCCGCCCCGCCCTCGCAGGGGAGTGTCCAAGGCCCCCAGTGGCCACCCACAAGAGGACACCAGAGCGTGGCATCCAGCCTGGCTTCAGCTGGGGAGGCTGAGGAGAGTGAGGTGGTCCCCGCACGCCGGAGCAGGCTCCCGTGGTGTGGGAGATGTCTTCCTGCGCACACAGGGCCACGGACTGGGGGCCGTCAGGCCACGTCCCATGCGGGGCACAGCCTGAGGCCTGCCCCCTTGCTCCCGCTTGGGGCACCCCCCCTTTCAGTATGGCTGGGAGTTTGTCCTCATCAGGCCTTGCTCCGCACACATCCAGCCCACAGGTTTTGCCATCCACCACGGCCCACAGAAAGGACAGCACGGACACCAGGGAGGCCACAGCCCAGAGCGGGCTCAGCCACTCCCCTCAGCTCCCCACCACCAAGCTAGGGCAGGGAGGAGGAGGAGGGCTGCCCTTGCCCTGCCCTTGGCCTGGAGAGAGGCGGGGGGGGGGGGGGGGGGGGAGGAAGGAACGCGCTGAGCAGAGTGCTGCTTCAGCAGACGGCAGGCCGCCCAGGCCGTTGGGGCGGGGGCAGCGCCGGGGGGAGTGGGCCGCTAGGCCTGCCCCCTGGGGGCTGAGCCCTGCCCCTGCCGGTGGGCTCCCGGGCCGGCCCCAGAATCCTGCAGAGCGGACTCAGGCCTGAGACCCACCCCATCCACCCTGAACCCCGACACAAGCCAGAAGCAGAGGACACCTCCCAGGGGAAGCCCTCTGCTGTCAAGGTCACCAGGCCCCCACCCCACATCACAGGCACACTGTCCCCTGCCCCAGTCCAGGTTTTCATGCCCCCCCCCCCGCCAATAGGCACCCCTCCCCTGGAGCGCGCCCGGGCCCCTCCCCCGCCACCCCCAGCGAGCGCGCCCCAGCCTGACCTTGCGGATGCGGCCACTCCGCGTGCCAGCAAACACCACTGTGTGGCCCCGGTAGTCATAGGCGGCCACAGCCGTCAAGCCATCCTCCTTGTCCACAAACAGAGGCAGGCCCTCGATGGTGACCGTGCCCCCCAGGGGCTGGTTGAAGTCCTGTCCACAGAAGTCGTCATCGATCTGCAGGGGCTGCAGGGGACAGGAGGAGAGTCAGCAACCGGCTGGATGCCCCTGCCGCCAGCACCAGACCGACCCAGACGCCGCCAACACCACTCAGGGTCAGCAACGCCTGGGCTCACCGGACACACTGAGGTCTGGGAGCTGCCGGGGCCCAGCAAGCATGCCCCGGAGGGACCCGACCGAGGGGGACGTGAGGAGATAGTGAAGGACTGGGGAGCTGAGCCACCCACTCCCACCCCAGAACAAGGGGGTGGGCAGAGGAGGGGCGGCCACAGCTGGGAGGGCCAAGCGCCAGGCAGCCACACCTAAAAGCGAGGGAAGGTGCTGCTGTGTGTGCAGGAAGCAAGTGATAGAGGCTCCGGAGATGGCTGGGGTCCAGCGTGGGGGGCTGCTCGGCCTCAAGGCCATGGCGGGGAGGGTGCACACACAGAGTAAGGTTGGCCAAGAGGCCAGCCGGGCCCCTTCCGGCCTCTGAGGTCTGCCCGGAGAGGGCACTGAGTGGACAGAGCAGGGAACACAGGGCTAGGCTGGCTGGGCCAGAGTGGGAGCACCGAGAGCCACCCGAGGGAGAAAGAGGCAGGTCTCCGATGGGGGATGGGGGACAGGGTACAGGGCACAGGGGACGGGGCACGGGGGACGGGGGACAGGGGACGGGGCACGGGGGACGGGGCACAGGGGACGGGGGACGGGACGGGGCACAGGGGACGGGGGATGGGGGATGAGGGACAGGGGACGGGGCACAGGGCACAGGGGACGGGGCACGGGGGACGGGGCACAGGGGACGGGGGACAGGGGACAGGGGACGGGGCACAGGGGACAGGGGACGGGGCACAGGGGACAGGGGATGGGGCACAGGGGACGGGGCACAGGGGACGGGGGACGGGGCACGGGGGACAGGGGATGGGGCACAGGGCACGGGGCACAGGGCACAGGGGACGGGGGATGGGGCACAGGGCACAGGGGACGGGGCACAGGGGACAGGGGACGGGGCACAGGGGACGGGGCACAGGGGACAGGGGACGGGGGACGGGGCACAGGGGACGGGGGACAGGGGACGGGGGATGGGGCACAGGGCACAGGGGACGGGGGGCGGGGCACAGGGGACGGGGGACGGGGCACAGGGGACAGGGGACGGGGGACAGGGCACAGGGGACAGGGGACGGGGCACAGGGGACGGGACGGGGGACGGGGGACAGGGGATGGGGCACAGGGCACGGGGCACAGGGCACAGGGGACGGGGGATGGGGCACAGGGCACAGGGGAGGGGGCACAGGGGACGGGACGGGGGACGGGGCACAGGGGACGGGGCACAGGGGACAGGGGACGGGGGACGGGGCACAGGGGACGGGGGACAGGGGACGGGGGATGGGGCACAGGGCACAGGGGACGGGGGACGGGGCACAGGGGACGGGGGACGGGGCACAGGGGACGGGGGACGGGGCACAGGGGACAGGGGACGGGGGACGGGGCACAGGGGACGGGCGACAGGGGACGGGGCACAGGGGACGGGCGACAGGGGACGGGGGACGGGGCACAGGGGACGGGCGACAGGGGACGGGGGATGGGGCACAGGGCACAGGGGACGGGGCACAGGGGACAGGGGACGGGGCACAGGGGACGGGGCACAGGGGACAGGGGACGGGGGACGGGGCACAGGGGACGGGGGACAGGGGACGGGGGATGGGGCACAGGGCACAGGGGACGGGGGACGGGGCACAGGGGACGGGGGACGGGGCACAGGGGACAGGGGATGGGGGACAGGGCACAGGGGACAGGGGACGGGGCACAGGGGACGGGACGGGGGACGGGGGACAGGGGATGGGGCACAGGGCACGGGGCACAGGGCACAGGGGACGGGGGATGGGGCACAGGGCACAGGGGAGGGGGCACAGGGGACAGGGGACGGGGGACGGGGCACAGGGGACGGGGCACAGGGGACAGGGGACGGGGGACGGGGCACAGGGGACGGGGGACAGGGGACGGGGGATGGGGCACAGGGCACAGGGGACGGGGCACAGGGGACGGGGGACGGGGCACAGGGGACGGGGGACGGGGCACAGGGGACAGGGGACGGGGGACGGGGCACAGGGGACGGGCGACAGGGGACGGGGCACAGGGGACGGGCGACAGGGGACGGGGGACGGGGCACAGGGGACGGGCGACAGGGGACGGGGGATGGGGCACAGGGCACAGGGGACGGGGGACGGGGCACAGGGGACGGGGGACAGGGGACGGGGCACAGGGGACGGGGCACAGGGGACGGGACAGGGGACGGGACGGGGCACGGGGGACGGGGCACGGGGGACGGGGGACAGGGCACGGGGGACGGGGCACAGGGCACGGGGGACGGGGCACGGGGGACGGGGGACAGGGGACAGGGGACGGGGCACAGGGGACGGGGCACAGGGGACGGGGCACAGGGGACGGGGCACGGGGGACGGGGCACGGGGCACAGGGGACGGGGCACAGGGGACGGGGCACAGGGGACAGGTGACGGGGGACGGGGCACAGGGGACGGGGCACAGGGGACGGGGGACGGGGCACGGGGGACGGGGCACGGGGCACAGGGGACGGGGCACAGGGGACGGGGCACGGGGGACGGGGCACGGGGGACGGGGCACGGGGGATGGGGCACGGGGGACGGGGCACGGGGGACAGGGGACGGGACGGGGCACAGGGCACAGGGCACAGGGGACGGGGCACAGGGGACGGGGGACAGGGGACAGGGGACAGGGGACGGGGCACAGGGGACGGGGCACAGGGGACGGGGCACAGGGGATGGGGCATGGGGGACGGGGCACGGGGGACGGGGCACAGGGGACGGGGCACAGGGCACGGGGCACAGGGCACAGGGCACAGCACTCAGCCAGGTGTATATGTAAATACAATGCATTTCTCAAGGACACACAGGAGACTGGGCCAACTGCCCCTGCCCCGTGTGCTCTTGGGGCAGCCCTGGGAGGAGGAGACCGGCCCTGTAGAGGAACCAGCGTTGCCTCCAGTTAGGAGTGGGGGACCTGCAGCCAGAGGAGGCATGGGCTTCCCTGGGCCACACAGGCCCCAGGCAGTGGGAACGCAGGGCCCGAGGCTGGCAGCCTGCTCATATGACCTGACCCCAGACGCCAGAAATCATTCTGGAGGGACCAACAGCTTCTATCCCCAACGGCACAAGCAAGAGGCCCCTGGACTCTGGCTGGCCAGGAATGGCCCTGGTCAGACTTTGGGTGAGGCGGGGTACCGTGGCCACGGAGTGCCAGCCCGGTCCGTGCATCCTGGAGGTTCCCACAGCTGGGCTGGAGAGGGCGGGGATATGGCCAGGGGGACGGCCGGGCCCAGCCCAGGGATCCGCCTGGGCCCCAGCTCGGCCTTGCCAGCCGTGAGACCCCGGGGGCATCAAGCTACCTCTCCGAGCCTTGTACCCCAGTCTGCATGACCCGGAGCTGCCAGGTCCCAGCAGCGCCAGGTGTGGCATCAACTCCAGCTGTGCTGCCCCCTTCCTCCCAAGGCGCGGGCCGGCATCATGCCGCCGCCAGGGACGCGCGTGGACGGCACTCACCGAGTTGATGCAGCCCAGCTCCTTGTTGAGCAGCCAGGGCAGCGAGAGCTTGCCCTCCCCGCGGTAGCAGGACTGAATACGCTCCTTGATCTTCTCCTTGATGGCCCTGAGCGTGAACAGGCACAGCACGGACTCCTTGGGCGGCTTCACGCGGTTCTTCTGGCCCTGCGCGAACACGGTGAACAGCACGTCCTCCCCCTCCGGGAGCTGCAGGTAACTGGCCAGCGCACGGCCGGGCCGGCTCAGGTAGGCGTCCTGCACCAGGCGGTACTCCACCCCGGCCTGCTGACAGCCGATGGGGAACTCCACGTAGGAGTAGAACTTGGGGTCGTCCACACAGAGCCGCACGATCTTGGAGGTGAAGAAGTGCTCGCCGGCGGCGTCCGGCGAGGTCAGCTGTGTGTCCAGCTGCAGCGTGAGGTAGTACACGAACTGCTCGCTCCGGAAGCTGTACACATAGTAGATGTCGAAGGCCGGGAACTTGGACAGCGTGTCGGACGGGATCTTGAGCTGCGAGGACACGAACTCATCCTGGTACACGAAGCCGAACATGTCGGCGTCCTCCTCGTTGGCCATGAGCCGGCGGCTGGACAGCGTGGGGAAATACTCGGACTTGCCGTCGATGGGGGTGCCCACGAAGAGCTTGGCCTGGCCCTGGCCCGGCGGGGCGGCGATGAGCACGCCCGCCATGCTGCCGGCCTCTCGCACGCTGGACAGGTAGTGCTCCTTGCGGTGATGCGGCTCTCCCAGCTTGAAGAGGTCGTCCAGCCGCAGGAACTGGCAGATGCCCTGGGAGGCGCTGCCGCAGGCCAGCAGGCGGTTGGCGGCGTAGTCCAGCAACAGCAGCTTGTTGACGTTGTCGGTGCTGCCCAGGCCGTGCGGGCAGGACTGCACGCTGGGGGGCGGGTAGCACTTCTCGTTGTCCTCCACGGGGCCCGTCACGTGCACCCGCAGCAGCGTCAGGTTCCCCGACAGCTTGTAGATGCGGTTCACCCCACCCACGTACACCTCGCCCGTCTGCTCGTGGACCACCACGTGGGTGAGGCCCCAGTCGCTGGCCACGAAGGTGCGGAAGGCGGGCTGTGGCCGTCCGCCCGCCTGGGCGGAGCCCCCCGCTGCCCACACGCACCCCAGGAGCAACAGCAGCATCGGCGGCGTCCGTGGGCTCACAGGCGGCAGCGGCATGGTGGGCCGGGGCCCTGACCCTCGGTGCTCGGGTCCCACTGGGGCGACGGTCACGGGGCCGGGAGCCTCAGCCCTAGGGGGAACAGGTCAGAGGGCATGAGCACGAGCACACGCACACGGCACACCTCCACCCGCGCGGACAACTTCCAGTGAAAAGACCCAAGTGCCGAGGGTCACCGAGACCGAGCCGCGCCACCAGCAGCGGCCAGGACACCTGCGTGGCAATGGCAGGGCTGCACCAGAGCCGCGCCCTGCCGGTGCTGGCGGGACTGGCTGATGGGAGGGGACTGGGGGCCCAGATTCGCCCCGAGCAGAGCTCTTCACCGCCGACTCGTGCACCTTGGCCAGGGAGCCCTCACTCCGGGGCAGGTGACCCCTCCTTGCCCGAGGCTGCCATCGCCACCGCCGACAACCGCTGACTCTGCCCTCACGAGAGCTGCCCAGTGACCTCCGCCTGGCGCTCAGGCCGGCTTTCCAGCCTCCTGCGTGTCCCCTCAGAGCACACCTCACAGAAACAGGGTCCTCTCTGGACTCCAACTACCAGTTTAGCCCAGTGTGGCTTAACCAAGCCCTCTGCACTGCTCAGCAACCCACCACAGCCCACCGCGACACAGGGTCCCACCGCAACACGGGGTCCCCCTGCCAAACGGGACCCCACCGCCACACAGCTGCAAGGGACACTGGCCCTTGGTCACTCACGGGCTCATGCTGGCCCGGTATCTCACAGCAACTCTAGGCCTGCATTCCTAGAAAGGAAGACGTGGCTCTCACCCAAGTCTTCACACCCAGCAGTGTGGTACCCTCGCGGTCCCCCCACTCCCTAGCAGACCCAGCGCTCCCTCACAGCCTCCCTCCAAACCTTGCGCCTGGCCTCACATCAAGGATGCTCCCAAGGCACAGCCCAGCCTCACTATCTGAGCAGGTCTGCACACTCCTCCTCCACCTGCACCCACATCACCCAGGCCTCCGCCGGCCGGCGCTCCCACCAGTCACACTCCCATACCAGCAGCACCCCAATCCCCTCCACCCAAGATGTGGCACCCGCAACCCGTGCCCACGCTCCACACGCAGCTTCAGCTACTTCTGACCCACGTCCACCTATGGCCACAGCTCCACAAGGCAGTTTGGGCTACTTCTGACCTGCACGGGGATCACCGTCCTCACACCCCGCTGCCTCCCACCCGCCGGAAAGCACCACCTCCCTCGGCTGGCAGCAGGTGCCGGGGCCGCCAGACGCGCGCCCCTCTGTGGCTGTGTAGCCTTCAAGGTCCCTTTCCTGGCCTCGGCAACCTTGTATGGCCCCTGAGAACCACCCCGTGGGTGGGTGGGCCAAGGCCTGGAAAGCTCTGGTGGGGCCCTACCCCACTACACTGAGCCCCGGCCCGGGCATGCCGAGCACAGAGGCCAAACTGCCCGATTTGTCCCGTCCTCCCAAACAGGGCCCTGTGCTGCCGGGCAGCCCCGCTTCACAGCTGGCACCACACAGGCCAAGCCCAAGTCACTGTGCCCCGGCCCCTCACCTGTGCGGGCTGAGAGCCTCCTCTGGCCTGCGCACTGAAGGGACAGCTGCCAGCACTGTCCGCCCTGCTAACGGCTTTTGGTCATTTGCTGGTGATGTACTATACTCTGAGGAGAAGAGCAGCACCCTTGGGCCCAGCTCCTCAGAGCCACAGGGCCCAAAACACACTTGTGAATGAATGAATGAATGAATGGGTAAGCAGCATGGCCGGTGGTTCTGGGCAGAGTGGCCTAACACCTGCTCCCTGGCCTTGTGGCCCCCCTTCCTAGACGTTCGGGGAAGCCAGGAGCACTGGTGGGGTTTACAGAGCAGAGCATGACCCCTCCCAGCAGGCTGCCAGCTGCCGTTGGCAGACACCCACACTGCCCAGCCCACACTGCAGGGTCCCCCACAGGCGGCCAGGAGAGCCCCTCCCCCCACCCTCAACCCAAGCCCAAGGCCGACCAGACCTGGGAACTAGACAGAACAGGTTCTACACAGAGGCAGCAGCCCTGGCTGAGAGCTCAGTGCATGTGAACTCCAAAGAAAACATGAATCACTCACCGTTCATCAGTTCAAAGCAGGCCTGCAATTACCAGGGGCTGGGCTCTCCCCTCCTCCGGGATAATTATACACGTCTTAATGCAATTACGGGCCCTACTTTTTATATTAAACAGGAGGGGCCCGACTGAAGAACCCACCATCTAAACTCCAGCCTGGCCCTGGGCGCTCCCCTACCTCTCAACAGAGGCTGCCAGGAAGGGACTGGCTCTGGGGCCCAGGGCTGCTGGCCAGGATAGGGGATCCGCAGTTGGAATCCTCACACCCCACCAAACAAAGACCAGCACGGAAACCTAGGCCACTTTCTCCACCTTAAGCAAACCAGATTCCAGGCTCGGGCAGACTCAAGGTCACACAGCTGCCCCAACAGGTCAGGGGCCAAACCCAGAGTTTCCTCAGAGACCCCAAGCAGACTGGCGACCAGCGAGGGCTCAGCTCCCCCAGGGCCGGGGATCTGACCAGGAAGAAGTGCCCTTGCGGTGCTGGGCGCTGGGGGCCACGCTGGCACTGCTGTGAGCAGAGCCGCCTGAGCCACGCTCGTCAGCCACGGGCGCTGCTACCCCCGCCTCAGGGGCCTTGTCACTTGAAATGGAGGAGAACGAACGTGGGGAGCGGCCGAGCTGGGCCACTTCTGAGCACAGAACAGGGGTGCAAGCCTGCTAGACCTGCGGACGGGGCAGAGAATAGTGGCTGACTCCCCAGCATGCAGAGTCAGAGTCAACCCAGGAGGGTCGCGCCTGTCTGCGTATGGACAGCAGGGACAGCAGGGCGCTGGGCCAGCTGGCAGCAGGTAGGGGCCGTAGCCTCGGGGGCTCCACCCCCAGATGGGACAGGACGGGACCGGTCATCAGTAGAGCGTACACTGCAGCGTACTGGTTTCTCCCCATGGCTCCTTTTGAAACACAAAGACTCCAAAGCCCCCCTCACTGGGGGGGAGCCCTCTGCCAAAGCCCTCCAGCTCTGGGGTCAGGTGGGGCTTGAGGGAGACAGGAATGACAGTGCCACCTGTCCCCAGGATCCCCATCAGCAGTTGGGGGAAGGGCTGCCCCAGGTCGGAGGTCACAGGAAGTCCCAAGTGGCCCCCTCGCCACCAGTCTGGTGTGCTGGGTACTTGGGCATTGGAGTCCCGCTTCTCAGAACAACAACACACAAGCCTGCTCTGTGCCTTTCAGGCCTCTGAGCAGGGGCCTTCCCGGGGGCTTTCAACAAGCAGGCAGCCGCCCGAGGGCCGCGGCTTTGTCCACAGGCACCTGGCTGGCTCCCAGACGCTCCGTTTGCGGTGCCCCCCAGGCCTCCTCCCGCGCTGTCGCCTGGTCTGAGATGCCTTTCCTGGGCCCCACAGGGCCCCTCCTGCCCTCTGGCAGCCTACCCCTGAAGGAACCCCTGCACCCCTGCCCGGGGCTGGGTGTGCCCAGAGCCAGGTAGTCTTGGCGTGTCTGGTCCTGCACACTCCAAACCAGCAGGCAGCCAGGGGGCCTGGCGGTGCTGGGGGCGGGGGGCACAGGTAGAGCCCCACCCGGCAGGACGGGAGACCCGCACCCTGGAGCTGGGGGTCAGCACCGGGACCCCGCGGCCGGACCCCCGCCGAGGGCAGCGGCAGGCCCCCTCCCCCCGCCGCCCCTTCCTTTCAAGGGGCGTGGCCCCAGCACCCCACCGAAAAGCCGAAGGCGGCTCCGGGCGCGCGGCCGGGCCCAGCACGGCCCTCACCCTCCCGGGCCGCCCTGGGGTCCGGAGGGCGGAGGGTCTCCCGGGAGCTACCGTCCCCCTTGCCGGGCGGTGCGGGCCGCCGCCGGCCCCGCCGCCGCACGCCAGGCCCGGGACGGTCCGGGAAACCAAGGGAAGCCTCCGGGAGCGGAACGACCCCGGCGAGGCCCGGCGCGGGGAGGCCGAGGCGGCCTCGCGGGGGCACCGCCCCGCCCCCTCCCCGCCCGGCGGCGGCCCGGCCACCCGGGCGCCCCTCCCGCGCCGGGCCGGAGCGGCGGGCCCCACCGAGCCCTCCCACTTCCACCCGGGCCCCGCGGGCCGGCGGGGCGCGGCCCCCACCCCCGCCCGGCGCCCGCGGCCCTGCCCGGGCCTGCCCGGCGCGGCGATCGCCCGCTGCCGCGGTCCGAGCCCGCGCGGCCCGGCGGCCCGGCCCGGCCCGCGCACCGCAGGACCCGCCCCGCGGGGCCCCGCAAACTTTCTCTCTCGCCTCGGGGCGGGGGCAGCGCCGCCCCCGTCGCGCCGCCCGGCAGCGATGCCCCGCGGCGGGCCGGGCGGAGGGGGAGGCCGGGCCGCCCGCGTCCGGGCCTGGGGCCGCGGTCCGACCTGGCCGCGGGGACGCGGCGGCCGCGCCCGGACGCGGGCGGGCGCCCGGCCGGCGCCGCAGGGACACGCGGGCCGCGGACGCGCGCGCCGCAGTCCCCCGCGCACGCCCCCCGCGCGCCCGGCGCCCCGAGCCGCCCGCCCCGCCCGCGCGCCCGCCCCGGACCCGCGTCCGCGCCCCGACCCCTCGCGGCCGCGCGGCCCGGCCTCCCGGGGACCCCGGCCCCCCGCACCCGCGCGACGCCGCGGGGAAAGTTGCGCCCCGACTCACCCGCCGCCCCGGGGCGCGCCCCGCCGCCGGCCATCGCCGCGCCCCGCCGCCCGCCGCGCCGCCCGCCCGCCGCAGGCCCGCCGAAGCCGCGCAGGCCGCCGCCGCCGCCGCCGCCGCCGCCGCCGCCGCGCCCGGGCTCCGCTGCGCCGTCGCGCTGCCGCTGCCCAGCATGAATGGGGCGCCGAGCGCCGCGCGGCTGCAGACCGGCCTCGCTCTCGCCGCCCGCGGAGCGCCGCGCCGCGCGCATGCGCCGCCCGAGGCCGGGGGGCGGGGCGGGGGCGGGGCGGGGGCGGGGCCCGCGGCGGCCTCCAGGGGGCGCTCGGCCCCGCGCCGCGCGCGCGCCGGGGTCCACCGCGCGCCTTCAAAGGGCGACGCCGCCGCCCGGTTAGGGCGCCGGGCACTGCGACCCCCAAGGCGGGCGGCGGCCTCCGCACCCGGGGCTGGGAGGCCGATGGGAGGCCTGCGCGGGACGAGGCCGCCGCCCGGTGCTGCCGGGCCGCGCTCCTGGTTACGTCTGCGGGCCGGGCGGCGCGGGCCGCGGGGCCCCGGGGTGCGGGTGCCGGGGTGCGCGGGCCGCGGCCCGCTGGGGCCCCGGGGTGCGGGTGCCGGGGTGCGCGGGCCGCGGCCCGCTGGGGCCCCGGGGTGCGGGGCTGCGGGGCGAGCAGCCGGAGGCGCGTGACGGACCCGGGCTGCGCTTCCCTCCGCGGGCAGCGGGGCGCAGAGCCGCGCCCGAGACGCCCCGGGCCCCGCGCCCGGCCGCCGCCGCCTCCTTAGGCGGCTCCTTCCCGGCGTTCCGGGGCTGGCGTCCGCCCGCCCCGCACCACGCGCCCCGCACCGCGCGAGCCTTTGTGCGGCTCGGTTCCGGCCGTGATGGAAACGGGGTCACGCACGTGCGCCCGATGCGGGGCGCGGCGCCGCCCTCCGCGTGCGGCCCTCCGCCCTTCCCCGGCTGCCCGCGAGCGAGGCCCGGGCGCCGCCGTGGGAGGAAGGCCGCGCTGGCCCGGCCCGGCCGCCCCTGCGGCCCCGGGCTGTGCGGCTTTCGGCCGGGAGGGCGCAGGCGCGGGCGGGCCGGGCTCTGCCCCCTGCGGGCCGGGCGCGGGGCGTGGGGCGCTCGCCCGCCGCCTCGCCCACCCCTGACGCCCCTGAGCTCGCTCGGCGCGGAGGGGCCGGCACACTTGCTGACCGGATCGCACCTCGGCGCCTGGGCCGCGCTGGACCCCGTCCGCCCACCCCCCTTCTCTCCCGTCTGGGGCGTCAGACTCAGCTGACCCGCAGCCTCCATCCGTCTCCGCACAGTTGCCCACTCACAAGCTGTGGACTCCTAGGAGAGCTCCTCTCCTCTCCCGACACCCTCTGCACCCAGCCTTGTGGGTCCTTCTAGAAAACTCCAGAATGTCCTTCCTTCCCCAGTCTGGTCCTCCCACCTGGCCTGCTCTCCCTGCTCCTGCTTGGTCCCTCCACTCGGTAGATGGCAGCAACAGGAGCCTTCAGAACGAGGTCGTGATTACATAACCCTCGCCCACCTCCCCAGGACCCTACCGCTCATCACACACCCCGCAGACACGGAGGGCCATGTCAGTGCTGGAGAACCCTCATGTCCAGGGGACCACGGGTCTGCACATAATAAAGGGAAGGGAAATACTTGTAGGAGACAATGGAGTAGGCTTTCATGACCACTTCAAGCTAGGGAAAGATCTCCTGCAAGACGTACAATTGATCTGTATCTAGAATATATAAAGGATTCCAAGGGGTCAACAGGAAAAGGCTACCACCCACTACAGAGAGAAGAGAGACCCGGGGCCTGAGGCATCTCCAGTTCCTGGACCCAGAGTCTGACCCCAGCAGCACTTCCTTCTGGTTTGTCCAGGCATCCTCGTGTGAGCGCACTAGACCCTGAAATTGCCTTTCCTGATGCGACCTCTCAGCAGGGCTGGATGGAGCCGGGTCCAAGGCTGCGGCTCTCCTCACACCACAGGGAAGGGAAGTGAGTCAGCTCAGCTGCTTGGCTTGCGGGCTCTTCCCCCTGGGTCTCCCCCATGGGCTCACTTCTGCCTGCCCTGCCCAGTTCAGAGGGTGGAGGCCTGGACCGGGAACCGATTCTGCTTGGGCTTCCTGCCAAGGAGGATGTTCTCCATCCTTTCCCATCCCTGGCCACTGGAGCAGCTTCAGGGCCATTTCTACATTTGTATGACTCAGCACTTCCTGCAGAGGTGGGGTTGGGGGGGCCTTCCTCCCTCCTTAGGCAGCGCCACCAGGGGGTCCAGGCCGGTCCTTAGCCCCCAGGAACATGACCCACCCACCCTGGTGCCTGACTCAATGGCTGGAGGCCACCCTGATTCCCCAACTCCTGCCTTTCCCCAGGACCAGGACCATCAGAACCCAGCACAGCCACCTTGTCCCTCGCTCGCCACCTCCACCTGTGACTGGTGAGTGCAGGTCCTCCTGGCCACCAGCTGCCACCTCTGCCTGCCACTCAACTCTCCACCTGTGACCCAGAAAGATGTGAGAAGGAAAGGGGGTCCTCCCCCAGCAGATGCTCCAGGGCTTCCTCTGATACCGCCGTGCAAGGGCACATGTACACGTTCACATGCGTGTACACTCACACGCACAAATAACATGCACATAAAGCACACGTATGTACACACTCAAACATGCATGGCCACAGTCATTCACATAAACACCCTTGTGTGCATATGCACACCACATACCTATGGCCATTCTGCCCTAGCAGTCACCAGCCTTGCCCCTCCCGCCCCCCAGGCCAGATGGACCACTGGGCTCCCCCACGCTCCCTGCTTTTAGGGCCAGGGCCTGCAGCCTGTGGCATGGCACAGCCCCTGGAGCTCCCTGGTGTCTGGGGGACATGCCTGCTATGGAGCTCTCCATGTGGAGCTCTGTTCTCATCTTGTCTCACTGTCTTGTGGCTCCGAGGGGTTGTGCTGTGCTCCTCAGCCCACAGAAGCCGCTGATGGCGGGCATGGACGCTGGGTGCACCCACTCCTGCACCCCACCGGGCCACTCTGGGCAGAAAGGGGACGGGGGTGGGCAGCACAGACGGGTCCTCTGTGCTGGGGGCCTGAGGCAGGTGCTCACAAATAGCATCCTGACACCCCAGGGCTTTGCCCGGCCCTCTGCTAGCCCAGGGCTGGCACTGCAAAAGTGCCCTCCTGGCTGAGGCTTCTGCCCTCACCATGTCGTCAGGCGCTGTTGGCTGCAGGTGGCAGAAACTAACTCAGCTGCTTCCCCACTCCAAGGGCATTCCCTGGCTCAGGTGAGCAGTGGTCCAGACCTGCAGGATCTCTGCACAGCACAGAGTGCCAGGGCTTCCACTCTCCCCGGCTGAGCTGGCCGAGTTTTCCCCACAGAAACCCAGGGCATTTAGCAAGACACAGGCCCAGCCAGGAGTGGTGGCTCACAGCTGTCATGGGAGGCTGAGAGTAAGAGCACTGAGGTTGGAGGCCAGCATGGGGAAATAAACTGAGAGGTGATCTCAACTGATGAAAAGCTGGGTTCTGTGGCTCATGCCAGGCATGCTGGCTACACAGGAAGTGTAAACAGGATTGCAGTCCAGGCCAAAGCCAAGGGCACGTTCAAAAACGGCTAGGGTGTGGCTCAAATGGTAACGTGTCTGACCATCAAGTGCAAAGTCCTGAGTTCAAACCCCAGCACCACCAACACAAACATCAAAGAAGCAGACTGTGCCTGGATGCAGGGCCACACCCTCACGCGCTGAAGGCCCTGCACCTCCGCCCTGCTGTCCTCCCTCCCGGTGTCCAGCAGGAGCAGGAAGCGGGAGGTGGGAGACTGCCTGTGAACTTCCCTGTGGGGAAGGCCCGTGACGGCCCGGCCATCACGTGAACATGCCCTGGGGGCGGGGGGACTTCCCCAGGCCTGCCATGTCTGGTCTGTTTTCTAGAGCAGACGCAGTTCCGCGGTTCCCGTGCTGCTCCAGCCTCTGTCACACTGCGGATCAGCCACCTGCCCTCAGGACCCAATGATGCCAGCAGACTGCACTTGCTCCATCCCTCATTGCTTCCGTCCCACCACACCCTGTGCCCGGCCGCACCAGCTCATTCCAAAGACATCACACCCCAGGCTTCCCCATTCAGAGCCTCCAAGCGGAGTCTCCCAGCTCCAATTCCATTTTCCAGGAAACCCTGATTGCAGCACCTGATCCAACCCTAGTAGCTTTCCTGCCTCTGTTCAGGGTCTGCCCGGGTGGGCCCGGACTGTAACACTGCTGCTGGCCACTCCCAACAGTGCACAGCACCGAAGGCAGCAACACAGCTGCTTCCCCACGGGGTCTGCCCCTCCCCCAGTGCCATGGGAAGGGCTCGCAGGGCCTCATCCTGGGGCTGACAGCCGCACAGCGAGACCGACGGAAGGAAGGAGCTGTGAGTGCCGGGCCACACAGAGCCGAGGGTACCTGCACGGTACCTCGAAGCCATGTGTGAGCAAGGAATGCCTGGCTCTGTCCACCCCCACAGACATGCGCTGCCCCCAGAGTGGAGCCGGCCACCTTAGGCCACTCTGTCCCCAAGGACAGGAGCCCCTAGTCACCCTGGGCCGCTCTGCCCCTCTCCGGAGTCGGCCAGCAGGAAAGCCATGGTTGGCTGGAAGCTGACTGAAAACACGCAGGGGCGTTGGTGGGAAGCTGACGGACACGGCGGGCCCCTGGGAAACACAAGGCTGAAATGGGAGCCAGAGTCTCAGCGCTCAACACCCCAACACAACTTTGGGGAGGCAGTCTTGCTCTGGGGTCCTGATTGGTCCAAATGCTCATTCCTCCCGCTGTAGACTTCCAGGGCCTGGATTCTGGGCATGAATCACTACACGCATAACTGCTCTGAAGATGTAACCGAGTGAAACCGTCCCCAGGAAGGAGGGCAAAGCCGGGGAAAGGAGAAGCAAAGGTCTCCTCCTGTGCCTTGTGCAAAGTGGGGTGACATGCCCTTAACCCTAGTGACGCAAGGGGCTGGGATCTGAGGACTGTGGTCGGAAACCAGCCCAGGCAGACACATCCAAGAGACTCCTATCCCCAGTGAAGCAGCAAAAAGCCAGACGAGGAGGCCTGGCACAAGTGGTAGGAGTATCCGTTGTGAGCGAAAGAGCCATGTAAGAGCTCAAGAAGTTCAAGCCCACTGCCAGCACCAAAGGAAGCAAAAACAAGAGCAAACCTGGGAGCAGGAAGCACAGGGGAAAGGATCCGGCAAGGCAAACAGTGGGCATCTTCTCTGAAGTTTTCTAAGTTACATTTGATAGCTGAAGCAAAACATTTAATATTGTCCACTGACCCGACGTTTGTAGAAGAGATAGACACGGTGAACACATTGTGAAGACTTCCACGTGCCACTCTAACTGGTCAAACTCGAGATAGACTGAATGGAGGAGACTGTGAAGTTGAGCAGTTTATCACACACACACGCACACACGCACACGCACACACGCACACACACGCACGCACACACACATGCACACGCGCGCGCACACGCACACACACGTGCACACACGCACATGCACGCACACACGCACGCGCGCGTACACACGCACACATGCACATGCACGCACACACGCACACACACGCACACACACACACGCACACACACGCGCACACACGCACGCACACACACGCACACACACACATGCACACACGCGCGCGCGCACGCGCGCACACACGCACACACACGCGCGCGCACTCACACACGCACACGCACACACGCGCGCACACACACACGCTCACACACACACACGCACACACACACGCGCGCACACACATGCGCACACACGCGCGCACACACATGCGCACACACGCGCGCGCACACACACGCGCACACACACACGCGCGCACAGACACGCGCACGCACACACGCGCGCACACGCACGCACACACACACACACGCACACACGCGCACACACGCACACGCACACACACACGCACGCACACACCCGCGCGCGCCCACACACACGCACACACACACACACACTCACACCTCCCAATAAGCACTGGATATCTACACAGACAGAATGAAACACTGTGTGTAAACAAAAATGGAATGATAAAAATATGTTCAAGTAACCACAGAGAGGTGGGTAAAAAGAAAACAGAGGAAAAGTCAGTAAATCAGAAACAAAGCAAAAGATAAAATGGTGGACTTGAACCAGATCAACATATCAGTGATTTCAGAAAACATGTCATATATGATTCTACTTATATAACTTTGTTGTTGTTGTTGTTGTTGGTCGTGGGGCCTGAACTCTGGGCCTGGGCGCTGTCCCTCAGCTCTTCAGCTCCAGGCTAGTGCTCTACCACTTAAGCCACAGCACCACTTCCAGCTTTTTCTGCTTATGAGGTGCTGAGAAATCGAACCCAGGGCCTCATGCATGCAAGGCAAGCGCTCTACCACTGAGCCACCTTCCCAGTCACTTACATAATTTTTTTTTTTTTTGGGTCAGTCGTGGGGCTTGAACTCTGGGCCTGGGCGCTGTCCCTCAGCTCTTCAGCTCAAGGCCAGCGCTCTACCACATGAGCTACAGCACCACTTCCGGTTTTCTGGTGGTTTGTCCGAGATAGGAGTCTCACAGTCTCTCCTGCCCGGGCTGGCTTTGAAACGCGATCCTCAGATCTCAGCCTCCTGAGTAGCTAGGATTACAGGCGTGAGCCACCAGCGTCCGGCTACATAATAGATTTTTTTTTTTTTTGGGTCCGGTCATGGGGCCTGAACTCTGGGCCTGGGCGCTGTCCCTCGCTCTTCAGCTCAAGGCTAGCACTCTACCACTTGAGCCACAGCGCCACTTCCGGCTTTTTTCTTTTCGCTTATGTGGTGCTGAGGAATCGAACCCAGGACCTCATGCATGCAAGGCAAGCACTCTACCACTGAGCCACCTTCCCAGCCTACGTAATATTTTTTAAAAGATAAAGTTATAGAGTTGGAGGCTGGGCTCAGAAGCACAGACCTGTCCATCCCAGCTGTCTGGGGGGAAGAGATCAAGAGGATTAAGGTTTGAGGCTAACCTGGACTATCTCAAAAAGAACCAAGAACCAGAGCAAGAAGGCTGGAGGTGTGGCTCAAGAGTGCTTACCAGGTATGAAGCCCCAAATTCAAGCCCCAATATAGCCTACAGATACAGATGTGTGTGTGTGTGTGTGTGTGTGTGTGTGTGTGTGTGACAGACAGACGACAGACAGACGACAGACAGACGTCAGGGGTCTTGCAGTTCAGTTATGGCTGGGTGGACCCCGGAGGCTTGCCTGCTGACAATCCTCTCGTGGAAGCATGCTGGCACTGGGAGTCTGGGCCTCTGGGAGGTGAGAGGGAGTGGGGCAGGTCTTCAGGGAGGAGCCCAGGGCTGAATCCACTCCGCTCCATCAGAAGGAGGACTGAGAGCAGGGGCACACACACACACCCCTGCCTCCTGCCGGGAGTTTCTATGCCGCCCCAGCCAGCTACCATCACCACACGGTCCAAAACTCTTTTCTGTTCTTTATGGTGGTACTAGGGTTCGAACTCAGAGCTTCAGGCTTGCTCACTCAGCCACAGCTCCAGCCTGACTTGGGTATTTTGAAGATGGAGTTTCTCAGACTTGTCTGCCAATCCTCCAGATCTCAGCCTCCTGGGTAGCTAGGATTTCTGGAGTTGGGAGCCACCAGTGCTTGGCTAGGCCACTTTTCTTTATAACTCAACTAGTCTGTGGCAGTGGGCAGTTGGGGAGCAGTGGGGGGTTGGGGGCGAGGCATGAGAGGACCGATGTGAGAGGGGACATGCTGTTGATGGTGGCACCCGAAGTCTGCACATGGGAGATCAGGCACAGTCACCCACACACACCAGTACCAGTGCTGTTTCTCACGTTTTATAGGTTGTAACTATTGGTGGCCTTGAGCTCTCTCGACTCTCTCCTACTTCCTGTGAATGAACAATTATAACTATTTCAAAATAACACAACATGCCTGTGCACTCACAGAGCCCAACTTGGCTGCTCTCCTTGGAGCTCTCCTGAGCTCCCCACAGGCCAGCCCCCCCCCGCCCTCCCCCCTCCCCACAGAGGCCTCATCCTTGGTGTGAGGTGCCCCTCCCAGGCCTCACTTGAGTCCGCTACTGTGCGCATTCTCTGCATCTTCATCTTACCTGTTTAGCTGCGATTTTCTCAGCACCCAGAAGGGAAGCTCCCCAAAGCCAAGGACCTCATCTCTGTTATCAGGGGCACAGCTTGTGACACGAAGAGCGCTGAGGGTTTGCGGGTGCACCTGCTACCTGTGGACACGTGCCGGGTTGCCCTAGATTGCGGCTGGTGGGGCCTGTGAAGGCGGCGCTCACCGCACGGGCTGTCTTTGCGGCTGGCGGGGCCTGTGAAGGCGGCGCTCACCGCACGGGCTGTCTTTGCGGCTGGCGGGGCCTGTGAAGGCGGCGCTCACCGCACGGGCTGTCTTTGCGGCTGGTGGGGCCTGTGAAGGCGGCGCTCACCGCACGGGCTGTCTGCCCAGGAAGCCCCTTGGGGCCCTTGCGCACGCTGTGTCTGTGTCTCTGTGGCCTCCACACAGGATCCCACAGCACGGCGCTTTCAGGGCAGCTGGCCCTCGGGCCAGCCAGCTCCCATCTCCTGCAGGCCAGGGGAGGAGGGCAAGGCAGGAGGTTGGGAGGTGCTGTGCCGCAGTGCTGGGAGGGCACCAAGCACTGCCCCTCCGCCTGCCCTGCCTTGGTGGGGCAGACCCTGGAAAGCACGTCTGCCCGGGGTAGGCAGGCACAGGCCCGCCCGCGGAGCTCCAGAGCCTCTCCCTGGCCGAGGCCGCCTGTGCTCTGCCCCAGGCACCAGGGTGGGTGTAGGGAGGAAGGGAGACCTTGGGTTTTCCACTACCCAGGTCCCCCTCTACACCACCCCGCCTGGCAAGCATAGTCCTCAGACAAGGAGCCACCACAGAGACAGACCTTGGGTCGGCAGGCAGGAGCTCTCCACGCCAGGCTGACACAGGGCCGACGCGGGGCTCTCCCAGCGCCTGGCGCTCTCCCAGCGGCCCGCGCTTACCCAAGCGCCGTGCCTCGCTGCTTTCTCTGACACAGCCAGGCTTTGCACAGGGTGTCTGGACACTTCCTTCCCCGAGGTCACCCTGCTGATCTCAGCTTCGGCCCTGATGCAAGTTCTTCTCCTTCTAGGACTGCCCTGGGCCCCACCCCCACTCCAGAGCCTCAGGAGCAGAGGCATCAGGATGCACCTTGTGCTGCCTGAGTGGAGCCGGGGGACACAGAAGGAGGGAAGGCATGCCAGACATGGTCACAGCACCCTTCCCAGACGTGTGCTAGGCTAGGTGCCAGGCCCTCGGGCACAAGCCTTTGGGAAGGAAGGAGCAACAGGGCCGGCCACAAGAGGGACAGACCTGAACAGAGCCGCGGGGCCCGTTGCCCAAAGCCTCGCCCCGGCTGGAAAAGCGTTTTTGGCTCAAGGGACAAACATTAAAATGCCATTCAAAACACGTAAGAGCCAATCAGTGGGCACGAGACATCAACAGTGGGCAGGGCAGCACAGGTGTGGCTGCTGAGCCTCGTTCTGCTTCCTCCCAGCCCGAGGCCCCAACAGCATCAGGCTTCAGGCAGGTCTGCATCCAGGGGCTCCGAGAATGTCACCAGGCCTCTGCTTCTCAACTTGACCTTCCTCCCTGCGGTTTTCAGATGTGGTCTTGCTATCTGTTGGCCAGGGGGACCTTTGGCAGGTCCTGGCATTTTTGTTGTCACGAATGACACTTCTCCACAGCCGCCAGGAGGAAAACTCAAGACCTTCCCTAACCTAAAGTGCACTGGGGCCGCGTGGGGCCACGTGGGGACACGGCACCCTTTCCCTCAAGTTCAAAAGGGATTTTAATGATTGAGATGCTCACTCATTACCTGACTTACGTAACTGTAACCCCTCTTCATCATCTTTATAAATAATAGATGCACACTTTTCGTTAAAGAAAAAATAAGGGGCTAGGAAGGTGGCTCAGTGGTAGAGCGCTTGCCTTGCATGCATGAGGCCCTGAGTTCGATTCCTCAGCACCACATAAGCAAAAAGAAAAAAGCCGGAAGTGGCACTGTGGCTCAAGTGGTAGAGCGCTAGCCTTGAGCTGAAGAGCTGAGGGACAGCCCCCAGGCCGAGTTCAAGCCCCACGACCGGACCCCCCCCCAAAAAAAATCCAAGTCATTTCTAAAAGGATGTTCAATGAGGTAACCCCTAGGTCACCAACGCAGGAACCAGTGACAATGTTGGCTGAGTATGCTGGCTTCTTTTCCTTTTTGTGCTAGTCCTAGGGCTTGAACTCAGGGCCTGGGGACTGCCCTTGACCTTCCTTTGCTAGTGCTCTATCATTCTGAGCCACAGCACCACTCCTGGTTTTCTGGAGGTTAATTGGAGATAAGAGCCTCACGGACTTTCCTGCCCAAGCTGACTTCCAACCTTGATCCTCAGATCTCAGCCTCCTGAGCAGCTAGGATTACAGGCATGAGCCACCAAAGCCTGGCCTCATCTTTTCCTTTTAAGAGCAGATTTGGAGCTGGGCAAGGTACCTCACACCTGTAATCCTAGTTACTCAGGAGGCTAAGATCTGAGGATCACGGGTTCAAAGCCAGCTGTGGCAGGAAAGTCCATGAGACTCTTATCTCCAGTAAACCACTCAGAAAACTGGAAGTGGCGCTGTGGCTCAAGTGGTAGAACACTAGCGTTGAGCTGAAGAGCTGAGGGACAGCGCCCAGGCCCAGAGTTCAAGCCCCATGACCAACAACAAAAAAAGAGAGCAGATTTAGGGGGTAATTGAGCTACCTGAATCTTTCTCCTCCATCTCCTCTTCCTCCCTCATATATAAGTTTCACAATCTATGACAGTCACACACAGACTTGGTAACTGCTGCAGACGGGAGCCCTGCCCATCCCCCCCCCCACCGCCCTGCCCATCCCCCCCCCACCTGCCCCGTGGATGAGCTCTTGCGTCTTGGGTCTTTGATCATCTACCAATGGAGTCCTTGCTACCAAGGCGGACTCACCTGGTGATGCAGTCACAGGCCACTGCGTGAGTCACGCCTGGCCTCCTAAGTGTGTGTGTGTGACTTGCTTCCAAGCAACAGAGGGGGAGGGGAGGCCGCTCCTCTCTGATGGCCTCCTGTCGCACGCGAGATGCCCCGGCTGGCTTGGAAGCTGTGAGCTCTCCTGGAAAGCCTCGTCCTGAGGCAGAGGACAGCTGGTGGCCACCAGGAGCTGAGCGGAGTCCGAATGACACCTTCTGCCTAAGCTGAGCAGAAACAGCCAGGTGAGCCTGGCAGAGCACCCAGGCTTCAGGAGACGCAGCCCCACCGCAGTGCGGCCCGTGATACCGAGGGGACCAAGCTGGGCTGTGCCAGGGTACAGACTCCAAACCGAGTTGCAAGCTGCCGGGTCTGTGGTCCTTGGTCAGGAAGACATAGGAAGCAGACACAGCCATGCGAGGGACCTGTGACTTCCTCCCACGTGGAGGGTCCTGGGCTCTGCTGTATACAAACCAGGGCCATGAACTCTATGTGCGCCGAGCGTCTGGCTAACATGAAGACCAGCCTCCTGGGTGTCAATCCAGATGCGACTGGATTGGTGCAAACCATCTTCCCGAGGGGCTTGCACCAACTCACATGGCAGTGTGGCAGTCCAGGCCGCTCCCCTCAGTCTTGCCAGCACCTGGCTTCCCATCCTTTCCTGTCCAGCCACCGGACGTGTGCAGGAGGGCTGAGTGGTTTGTGTAATGGCTCACATCTTTCTTGCTGTACCGTGGATGGAACCCAGAGCTTGCACACAGTGGGCAAGCTCTCTGCCACTGAGCTACACCCCCAGTTCATGCTGGATTCCCTTGAGTTTTCTGACCTCCTGCCCGCCGCCCTGCCTCCCATCTGTCCTTAAATCCCTAACTGGATGTGTAGGGAGACAGAAACTGTCTTTAAAATGTGAGAATGACAGACACCTCATGGAGTCCAACGGTAATGGTGATGCAGAGGAAAGCAGAGCTGAGAGTCAGGAGAGCAGTTCCTAGTGATTGTGTCTCAGCTCCTAGATCCAATAGTGCCAGAAGCACAGCTTCTCAACTGGGTGACCAAACAAGCCAATTCTTTTTTTTTTTTTGTCCATTGTGGGGCCTAAACTCTGGGCCTGGAGGCTGTCTCTGAGCTCTTCAGCTCAAGGCTAGCGCTCTACCACTTGAGCCACAGCACCACTTTTGGTCTTTTCTGCTTATGTGGCGCTGAAGCATCGAACCCAGGGCCTCACGCATGCAAGGTGAGTGCTCTACCACTGAGCCACCTTCCCAGCCCCTTTTGTTGTTGCTTCTGAGTCAACTGGGGATCTGACTGACCTAGGCCCTGAGTGTGCTCACACCACGACTCTCCCCAACACTGGCCCTCTGGAGAGCCACCAAGCTTGGGAAAGGAAATGGGAAAGGAGGCGCCGGGGAGCTGAGTCCTAGGCCCCATCCCTCCTGGACTGGCCCACCCCCTGCTTCATTGCCGAGAGCGTTCAGAGGCTGAGTAACCATGTAATTGGCTCATCCGTTCCATAGTCAAACTTTGGCAAATATGTTTTTCATAATTAGTTGATGTTTATTTAACAAGAATAACCAGCCGATTAAATTTAATGAGGCAGGTTAGCATGTATAAGGTAGGAATGCTTTTCTTTAAGAGCAACCTGGTCTCCCTGGTCCCAGACCTGGGGAGATGCCAGGGCTTGCCTATGTCAGGTGTAGTAGCCCTGAGGGAGATGAGAATGCAGCCCTTCCTTGGGGTGCCCCGTCTGCTCCTCCGCTTCTTGGTGTCTGACCTGTCTTCCTTGGTGTCGGGGTTTCTCAAGGACACGGCTTTCCCAGGGCTGCTTCTGCTCTTCTCCAGAGAGCACGTGGAAGGCGGTGACAGTACATGGTCTCCGGGCTCTGAGGGCGCACGCCCCATGAAGGAGGGAGGCCCCAGCTGCTCTGATGCCAGTGGCTGTGAGCAGCTGCTGGCACTCCTTGCCCCTGCCGACCGTGTCTCACCTGCTTAGCAGACAGGGTGAACACCTGGATTTAGGAGACTGAGGCTCTGTGAGGGGTCAGGTGGCAGAGACTTCAGGGCCCAGAAGGGTTAAAGGGAGAAGCCTGGCCCTCCACGCTCTGACCTGTGGCTGGAGAAAACCAGGAGCTCCCTTCACATTGAAGAGCCATTCGGGGTTTTGTGTGTTTTCTCTTTGTTCTGCTTAGTTTGGCCCAATGAAAAAGAGTTGGTTCTAAACATATCCATCCCCGTTGCCGGAGAAAAGCACAGTGTGGACTGGCTTTTCTCACAGTTTATTT